ACGAGTAGCGTGCTAAATATCAACCACAGCGGGGGCCGGGTGCGTGTGCGCCGCCGGCGGAAGAGCGCGCGGGTGAGGGAGGGGGGGGGGTGCGCGCGCGCCGTCCTGCAGCGTCGCCGGCCAAAGAGCTCGGCTCCTCGAGAGAACCGACGGACGACGGACGACGATCGGCTCCTCAGCAGTGGGACGCCGAGCTGGAGGCTCGGCCGGGAGCTCGCGCGGGCACGTGGAGCTTTCCGCTCGGGCCAGCAGGAAACGGGCGCCCCGCACAGCGACGCCTGCCGTAGAGTGCCGAGAGCTCGGCTCGACGCGAGCGCCGAGGAGAAGCGATCGGCTCCGCAGCAGTGGGACACCGAGCTGGAGGCTCGGGCGGGAGCTCGCGCGAGCACATAGCGAGGTGCGTGCGCGGCGGCGTGACACAGGTGAGCGGGCAGCTGGCGCACATTTCGGCTGTGGGAGCTGCCAGGAGTTTGCTCTCTCCGTTCACACCCCTTTGCAGAATTTTCACCTGGGCGGGACTGGCGCGCACTGGCACTAACGCAGGTACACCACGGGAGCCCCTTAAGCGACTCCCGCGTACGGCTTTAACCGCGGCGTGACAGCTCTCTCAAGCCTCAGGCAACTACGGTAGAGCGCACGTGCAATTCAACACTGCAAACAGCGTCTGCGTGATCGTCGTGCTCAGCCCTCCTTGCAGCCAGTTCTTGTAACCTGGGTACAGGCTTTGGCTGCGATCGGCGGGTGCGTTGGGGGCGTGGCAACGACCCGAGCCTTCCCTCATCGCGGAGACACCCCTCCCACATTTGTCGTGGTGGACGACGTCGCGCTGCCCGGTAAACGTGCGCCATGCGGCCGTTGGTGCGCTGAATGTGAGCGGCGCAGCTTCGGGCCAGACGGTCACGCCTGGCGTCCGAGCGAACGCCTTCGCGGCGGCTTGGTTCATGAAATCCACAACGTCGGGGTGTGTCTGGGGCATGTCGTTGACGGAGCAGCCGTCTCGAAGCGCAGCCGTCGGGGTGTCGGCCATGAGGACTCCCTCCATCATCGCACGCCAAACAAAGACGACAGAAGGGTTTCGACGGCGCACGCGGCCTACCAGCCGCGCAAGCTGGCGCAGATCGTGCTCGTAACGCTGCAGCGGCGCCGCACGATGTTTGGAGGGAGGCATCATGCCCACGTCATGCAAACCGCTTTGCAACACCACGATGGTGTCGGACGACGCGGAGGATAGTAGCCGCTCCCACGCCTCGCGCATCGTCTCGTCGCCGACCATGTTCGCCAGACCCGTCCGGCCCGGGAGTGAAAACACAGGCATGAAGGCGAGCGGTACCCGCGGCAGCATCGAGATGTTCTCCGGGCGCGTTTGCCAGCCCACATTGGGGCCGATTTTGACACATGTGTCGTTGCCATGGCCGAGCAGCGCGCATAGGTCGAGGAACGTGCCGGCGAGTACCGAATCGCCTAATAGCACGAGCCGCCTCCCAGCCAGGCACGAGGCCGCCTCGGCCTGCAGACACACCCTGTCGTGCCACGAACATCTGAAGGCGTTGTCGCACGGATTGTCACCAACGCCACATCCGGCAGGCCGCCACTCGTACCGACCATCGGCAAATCGCCAGTGGCCGCGCATGCTTGAGCGCTCCTCACACGGCCTGCCCTGCGGGTGACGCATGCCTGAGGTCTGAGGCGGCAAATGCAACGGGCTGGAGGGAAGCGCCTCGCCGATGCAACGGGGCGCCCCTCCAGCTGTCACGTTCTCGAATCCTCGACCGCCATGCTGCACCCAGTCATGCAGCAGGAAGTGTTCGGAGCGGACGCTTGCGGACCACCACAATTGCACGTGCGCCAGCGCGTGAATTCCACGCAGCGTTGCAGGCAAGCTCGCTAGGTACGACCCGTTGCCGAGGTCTTTCGCCCGGGAGCGCCACATGGCGCCATGATGACCGCTCTGCGTCTCCCATCGCACGATCCACACGTCACCTCCTGTGGATCGCCGAGCGCACCCAGCCACGCCTGAGGTGATGAACACCTGCAAGAGGCCGCTCGGCTGTACAGCCACGTCTGCTCGGCTGAAGTTCGCTGCTGTCAGGCAGTCTAGGCAGACCGGCGCACGGTGGAGATCGCACGGCATGTGTGTTTAGCAGGCCACCCGCCGCTGCGGCTCGTCGTGCAGTGGGGGCGACCCCCGTTGCATGCTTACTGAGTTTGGAGTGTGAGTCACGCGTCGTCTTGTGGCTTTCCGTAGCGCGAATCCGCCAGGATTCTCGCCAGCTCTGCTGAGGGGTGGTGCTTGGCTTCGTGCGGCGCTCGCCGTGCAGGCCGTAGGCCTCTGTACCACATCATCTACTTCACACCATGAGGCGTCGAAGCTAATGAGATATTGGATGAGATGTTGGATGAGATATCGGCAGACTTGCGCCCGTCGGTCGGCGCAATCGAGTGTCTGCCCTTCATCGCTCGCACGCCTCGCCATCACCTTTCAGTCGCCTCCCGCCCACCACACCCTGGGGACTATGTTCCGTACTGATGTTTGATTCCCCCCGAGAGGATGCTCCGGGTGCGTCTTGCGGTTATCTCCCTGTCCCTCCGCCTGTCATGTGCATGTCTGCTGCTGCCTGTCGTGTGTGATGTCGGTCGTCTGGGGGGGGGGGGGGGGCAAAGTGCATCGCCTCCCTCCCCTCACTCAACGCATGTCAGGCTTAGCCGCCGCACCCGCGGCGGCGAGGCTGAGGGTCTCTCTTCGGTTCGTACCGCAA